ACATTTGTCCACTGGACGTCAGCCTTACCGCTTCACCGTGGGACGATGTATAACGTAGCATGTCACCACATCTAACACACTGTAAAATCAAAAACCTTTACAAACTACACCAATATATGTATTTACATTAAACCGTGACCTTCGTGCTCCTGGAGGCAGAAAGCGTCTTCTCAGGACCTGCCTCGACTGGGGCTTTCATGGCCTTCGCACCCTTCACCAGCGTCGGGTCCTCCTCATCGGACTCGTCGCCAATGATGCCGTCCCCCAAGGCGTCGTCGAAGAGCTCGCCAATGGAGCTTGCCGTCCAGAGGCAGGATGGGCAGCTGCAGCGGCGCCGTGGCCGTGGAAGTCGCGCGGTCCTCCATCATCGAGCGGCTTGCCGCGAGGAGGCACGTTCTGGAATGAAGTGGCGAAGTTGACGAAGCTTTTCGAGCAGCTACGGACCGGATTAAGTGGTGCAGTCTATGAATAGGAGAACTGATTGCGTCAAATTATCGAGTTGAGGTTGGCAGAAGTGCACATGGTATTGCGGGACAGAGAGTGAGTTTGTTTGTTTGCAGATGAATGGTATTGAGTTCATACGCAAGGCCGCCACTTCGTCTTGGCGGCCCATTCTACACAGAGTTGATGCAGTGGGGGAATACGAAGTTTCGAGTTCTTGTCAACAGGGACCAACGTACATTTTGTCTATGACGAAACGTACATTTAAAAAGGAACCTTATGCTTAGAGCAGCAGAGTCTTGGAGCTCTTGGTCGCCGCCTTCTCGGCCACGGAAGTCTGGAGCTGCTCCTGCTGGAAGTAGTCGTCCTCGTCCGAAGCAGACTCGGACTCGCTGTCATCCTCCTCGTACAGGGGGGTCTTGCCCTTGGTGGCAGCGCCGCCCTTGGTGGCGCCCTTCACCAGCGTCGGGTCCTCCTCATCGGACTCGTCGCCAATGATGCCGTCCTCCGAGGCGTCGTCGAAGAGCTGGTCAATTAGGTCGGTGGTCGTGCCCGTCTTGGTGGCCTTCCCAGTCTTGCTCGACTTGGACGACTTGGTGGCGGGCTCCTTGCCGCCCTTCACCAGGACGTCGTCGTCGCTGCCGGACTCCGAGTCGTCCTCGTAGATGGGGGTCTTGCCCTTGGTGGCAGCGCCGCCCTTGGTGGCGCCCTTCACCAGCGTCGGGTCCTCCTCATCGGACTCGTCGCCAATGATGCCGTCCTCCGAGGCGTCGTCGAAGAGCTGGTCAATTAGGTCGGTGGTCGTGCCCGTCTTGGTGGCCTTCTCAGTCTTGCTCGACTTGGACGACTTGGTGGCGGGCTCCTTGACGCCCTTCACCAGGACGTCGTCGTCGCTGCCGGACTCCGAGTCGTCCTCGTAGATGGGGGTCTTGCCCTTAGTGGCGACGCCGCCCTTGCCCTTCACGAGGGTGGGGTCCTCGCTACCGGACTCCGAGTCGCTGTCAAAAAGCCACGAGAGGTCGTCGCTGCCTGATGAACTCATCATCTTCCCTAAGACGTCAGCGAATTGATCAAGTTTTTCCACGCCACTGCCGCTGCTGCCAAAAAGCGACTCCACGGTGAACGTCCAGCGGCTGCCGTCGGTGCTGTCTCTGACGAACAGGTTGTTCACGTCGTTCGTGAGGCACTGGGCCATGCGCATGTAGCACTCGTTCGGGTACTGGTAATCCCCGTCCCTAACGGGCTCGTACTTGTCCGGGCACTCGTCCGGGCAGGCGTCGCTGCCACTGGCGTCGAGCGAGTCCGAGGCCGAGAAGTCGAAGTCCTCGCTGGCGCTGGCATCGTCCGACGAGCGGAGGTAGGCCGGGTTGCCGGCGTTGGCGGCGGTGACGGCGAGAGCCGCAAGAACAAGGCCAGCAGCGAACTTCATTTTTGATGTGATTCGGGAGACGAGAGGTGTGTGCTGCGCTTCGCGAATTGGAGAATGAACGATGGTATACATAGGTTCCTGACTCCCACGACACCATCCTGGTTTCTATCTCAAGGCGTTCAATCCGGAGCAAGTCCCATTGAAGAACAGCACGGCGGGGATCCT